AAATCATTCTAATATGCTGATTTATTATTAGAATTATCAACAACAATACTACAGCGAGAATATAAGTTACGCCTTCTTTCTTTGCGTGAATATTTGGGCGGCGTTATGCAAATCTTCCCAGATAGTGACGTAGGTATGTGGGGGCGTGTTAGAACGAGCCGTTTTAGGTAGGCGTGGTTGATGCTTAACTTTTATAAAGAATATCTCTTTGGATTTGAGACTTTAGTCTTTGCAACTTTACAGATCTTCTTTATGCACCAAGAGCTTGTAACACTTCAAAGAGAAAGAAAAAATTGAAATCGCATCATATGACCCCTTTAAGGTTAAAAAAAGTTTCAAAAGGCTTGAAGTTTGAAGGTTTTATAGGCCTTACAGACAGACATACATTTAAATGGCTTTACAAACCAGGGGAATAACCACTTCATTTCTCAGAAGGCCATTACCTGTTGAATTTCTTCCAACTGTAATTCATTAATTCCTCTTTATTCAAGTTCCTCTGGAGTGTGGCCAATTCCATTAGTTTTTGGTATTGGGAAGTTGATGCAGGCTCGTTCTTTGACTAATTTGTAGTTTTATATTTTGGTAACTGAAACATTGTTTGAAAACACCTTCTTAATTCGCACCTTGGGTCTAGATGTGTGGATGAAGAAACAGTTTCTCTTTCTTCAATGATTGTGTGGTTATCATGTCCACCTTACGCACTGATTCAGCGAGGCACCTAAAAATATCGTTCTCCAGAGCCGGATTAAAGCCGGGGTCAGCTCCTCCGTGAATCCCGCCCTGACGTTTAGCCTAAATAAACCGAAAGGAGGGGCTTGTCGGCGACAGAGAAGCGAAGGGTCCCGTGGTGAGCGCTGCAGAGCCGCGTAGTGTGTGTCAGGTTTCATTCTGAGAGAGACTCAAGCGCGCAGCAGTCAGACAAACCCGTCAAATGGCACGACTGAAGCACACGGACTCCCACTAGAGCCGGAGATCACTCAACAGTCATCTCCATGCACTTGTATGAGCAGCATGCCTCTGTTGAGGTCGTTTTGAAGATTGATATTTTCACGTGAAAAGCGGTTTAATTGCCTGAAAGGAGAACTTTAATCAGTTTATTTGAGCACGACCCCCGTTCAGCGTGATAAAGTGCCGGATAAACATCAAATTGCCTACATAAGTCTCACAGACATGGAGGACATGAAATTGCGAGTATCACCTCATTCCAGTCGGGAGAGGACCTGCGTTCAGCATCCTTGCCAAAAGCGCCTTTTGACGAACTGGAAGGACGTGTGTGCAATCTGCGTGTGTTTGATCTCGTTTGGAGTTTGTGTGTTGCTTTACCTGAGGACGTCAGATCTGCAGTCCAGGGTGCTCAGTTTGGAAAAGGACAGAGATCCTCGTATCTCCAGTTGGATCTCTCTGGAACAGGTGGAGCCCGTCCTGTGGAGTCGACTGGATCAGATATTAGAGGAGGTGAGCAGTGACTTTTTTCTCCAGACATTTGTCTGTGGATACAATAACACCAAGTCATTAGTTATTAGTTTGTTTATTGGCCCTCGTTTGTTTAGGCACTTTCAGTGCGCACAGTTTGAGCTCTGCCGACTTTCAAACGCGCATGCACATGGATCAAAATAATTACTTTTTGATTGCTGTACTCACTTTTTTGGGCTTGTGTTTAGTTCTGTTTGTTAATTATTATTTGGTATTATTTTATTGCTTTGTTTGCTTTGTTGTCTGTTTGTATTGTCTTTTACTGCGTTTATTACTCCTTTTTTAATTGATTAAAAACTAATAGAGATAAAACGCAAAAAATAAAGAAATAACTAATTACTAACTACGTTTTTTGTTTAACTGAGAAAATAACTTCTATACTGACTCTAAATAAACGTATTAGTTAATATTTTAACCAATAATCGTCACATAAGTGATAAATGATTAAATCCTGATTATTGAATTAAGTTTGCTAGGTACTGTAGCTCTTCAAATGTCAGTGTCAGATCAGACTCTTTTACATGGCTTACATTTTTCACATCCTATTTAGCATTGCTCTAGAATGGGTGTCTATAAATAACAGAGTCATATTGCCAAAATTTCCTGCTGCCATTTTGACACATCAATTAGTGTAGATGCCTTAATAAAAGTACACATAATTGATGTGATCCGGTAGATAAACCCCTATTATCCACACTTGGCTGACTGAATTTTAAGAAAGTCTGTTCAGTGATTAATATATCTGCTACTGAAAGATATGACTGTTGTTTAGCAAAACTATTATTTGCAGCATGCAAGACCTGCTGAACACATTGTGTCACCATATGACCACCTGTTTTACATCAACAATCAAGCAGTTAGGGCTGTTGCCAGCTTTAGCGCTGACCGAGCACGGCATCTGTGTAGAATAAGATTGAGCTTGAAGTGGTGAGGTGGAGAAAAGCGATATACATATAATATAATAATATATATACAGTACATTGCCTGCGGCAGTGGTCCCTTCACAATGGCCTCTGGTGGTTCATCACCTAGCTGCATGTAAAATATTTGAGGTGTTAAAAGTATCTTGGGTTGAATTTTGGGGAAAGGCTGCCATCTCACTATCTGTGGTTCATAAAGTAAAAGAGTCTGCAGAGGATGACGGAGGTGAATATTCAGTGTGTTAATGAGACTATGCAGTCTGAAGTAGAGGCAGCCAAGTGTGAGTCAATCTGAGGCTGAGTGTGATTTCAGTATCTGCATAATGTTGAGTCATTTACAGGTGGATCTTGCTGAAATCTGTCAAGAACATATCCAGGTCATAAGAATATGAATTTGATTTGCTTATTAGAAAATAGGCACCTTTCAGGCATTGTAACATGACAATTAGGCATATTTCATCACCCATACTTTACGTAATGCAAAAAAACGGATAAAGAATTACAGTATTATTGTAACGAGAATGTAATGAGAGTCGTCCTTCAGAATAATGGCAATTGCAAAAAGTAAAGTGTCCACATGCATTACAGTAATGAGAGTTTTGGGGGAAAATGTGCTTAAATGTAATAAAAAAAAGCTAAAATAGGCTTCAGTTTTGTTTAATACTGATGGACCTTTGAAAAGCATCTGAAATGTGTTTATCTCAGGGGTGTTCTGTTATCAAGGGCAGATGTTTCTCATAGGCATATTGACAACCAATGTTTCAGCGTCACCATAAAATTGCATGTATATGACTCCATTAAACTGAGAAACATATACATTGGAAGTGCCTGTTGAAGGTTAGAATGGTGCTGATTTCACAAAGTAGCTAAAAGTAGCTAAACTCGAGAGAGAGAGAGAGAGAGAGAGAGAGAGAGAGAGAGAGAGAGAGAATGAAAGAAATGGAAAGAGCGATAGAGCTAGGCCTGCAGGCTCAAAGTCTGGGGTCTTAGTAGTAATCGGACATTGGAATTGTAAAATGTTGTGTCATCCTTTCAAAATAGATTGTTAAAACCAGATCAAATACTGGGCATCGAGTTACCATTAAAGCTGGGAGGCAGAGAATTTCTCCTCCCTCCCAACCTATGTTGAAAAACATTCTTCATCACATCAGCCGAAAAGGAGAGTCATTTCAGAGGTGTGCAAGTTATTACTTTTTGATGAAAGATTACAAAAATAAACTTTTTTTTTTCTATTTGGAATATAGTGCACAGATTAATCGTGCACAATAAGACCAGAGATGCGTATTAAGAAAGTAAATAGGGTCATTGTTGATTTCATGTTGACTTTAAGAACACCTTTATTCAAGCATAAAGGAACACACCCTACCAGAATTAAATGCTTCAGTAACTTAATGTGCTTCAAAATGAAAGCTAAGTCTTTGTTTCTTTAGATCATGTTCTAGGTGCTTCCCGTCAGTGTAACTCTTCATGCTAACTTTTCATCACAGGCTATTGTTTGCTCATTGCATTATTGTTTATGAGAGCTCTCAAATTTAAGTGAAACAGAGTTCCCTTTCATGGGAACTTCGAACTGCGTCCTCTAGGGGTCGCTATGGGGAACGCCTCGTCGCGACCCGTGTCTGAAACATACATTGAAAAAAACACCAACTCGTTGGCCAGCGCCAGCCATGACGTCACTACCGGTGCGACTATAGTAAAAAAAAAAAATTATTTGGACATAACTTAGGAATGCAGCACTGGAAAATCATGAGTTAAAGCTCTGGCATTTAATGCGTGTGCATTATCCCTGGATATTGCTCCTGTGGAAAAGCAGTTTACACACAGTACAGGTTCCCTCCAAATTGTAATGCATTTTCCACGGCTTCTGTGCTTGCAGAACAACCGTCTGTTGTTTAACCCTGCTGTCACATGTACAGTATATTTTCATTTTAGCGTTCTTTAGGTTTTCCTTTTCTTCTTAACCTCCATTAGCACTTTCTGTTTAACAATATCTGTTCAGTAGTGTGGAAAAACTGCTACAATAGCTTGTAGTGTCTGAGAGCTGTTTGAGTAAAGACTTCTCCAGCTGGGAAGAGGGTTTGCCAGTATCAATCAAATAAAGCCCTGGAACGATCGTTGGGTAATATATATATATATAAACTGGGGCAAGAAAAATGTCCGATAACAGCCCCAGAATTATTTACCTTCAGTGTTTCAATATTAGAGGAGAGGGCATGACCTATAGTACCACACTGCAGACACCTGACAAACTTTACCATTCAGTCATAAATGTATCCAGTCAGTGATTGGTCTACCAGTGAAAAGGCACTGCATACAGGGGGTATGTCTATTTTAGCTGCGGTTTTGTAAGTTTTGGCTAAACATACAGTAGTAGCTCTGTTTAATGTCACTTTTGTGGAAATTTCATTTTTTAAAGAGCACCAACTGTTCTTTAAATCCTGTTCATCTAGAGTTAAGTGTTCACTTTGATACCTGCACTACCCTGGAGTTTCAATGTAACCAATTCGGTTAGTTTCAAAAAGTGACCTAGTATGCACACATACATTGTTAAACTAATGCATCACTTGTCAGTGCCCACACTGCACACAGACATGACGCTGCTAAAAGAGCAAACGGCTCCAAAGCTATGCAGAAACAATAGAAGTTGTGCCCCTGGTGAAGGTCGGAGCGCCAAATATATTTAAGCTTCTTAGGTCAATTCAAAAATAGCTTTTCAGTGAGTTTTCTTTTTAATATATTTCAAATGTCATGTAATATATTTATGTATTTAATGTATGTTTAAAATATTTTCTACATATTTTAATAATTTATTTGTGGTTATATATTATGATGTTATTTAATAATAATATTTTATGATATTGGTTTGTGTACTTCAATATATTTTGTTTGCATGAATAACAAATAAAGACTAACAAACTAACACCAACTACACTAGCTTTTTTATTTTACCTTACATACAATGTGGTCGATTTCTGCACAGCTGACTTCAAATGTCCTGTTTGTTTATTTCCAGAAATTAGCAGCACGTCTACCGAAGATCCGGGCGGCTCGGGATGCTCCTCATAACTGCATCTGTCCACCAGGTATGTCTGTTAACCCCATTCATCCACAGCTAACCCTTTCTCGATCTCTGCACACCTGTGATAGTGTGCTCCTCCTGCTACATCTGATATGCAGTTGAATGTATCTTGCGGTTAAGCCTTTTGTGCTTTCCTTCCACAAAATAGTCTCTTGTCTGCAGGTACGTGAAGAGATACTATTGTTGCCAGGATAGAGACGTGATCACCATTGACTAGATTTCATTTCCAATGTAATGCAAATGAGTGAAAAGAGTCTCCTTTCCCCAACCCGTTCACTGGTGCCCTCGGACTGGCATTGCTGTGGTGACATGTGCAGTTATATTTTCGGCTGCTGTTGGCAGTCATTGATTTCAAGTTGTGTTTGAGCGGGTCGTGATGCAAGCCAGAGTGTTGGGATGGCGTCATCTTGCCGTTCCTGAGCGCAGGGAACAGTCAACAAGGTTCACAGCGTACGACTAACAAATTAAAATGGCCTCAATGGCCTCAAGTCCGTCACACTTTTTCTGCTAAAAGCGAAGCTTCCTAGCAGCTACATTTTAACTTGCTTCCCTAACATAACCTCCAGATTTCAGTCATTAGACAACGCTTGTGTTATAGCCTGTGCTTGTGTGTGTGTGTGTGTGTGTGTGTGTGTGTGTGAATTTACACATCTCTGAGAACCAGGCCAGATGGTACAGACATCTCCTTGTTAATTAGGCTAGTCAGTACTAGTCATTGTTGTGTTAACTGAGTGGGAAGTGACTTCAGACAGCGTAGTGAAATCAGTTTAAGATGGACATGACTTGGATAGGTACTTTTGAACCAGGTGTGGGGACCGTTTAACAGCAGGCATCCTAGATAATGGCCGTGTTGGTTGTTTATTGCTGTGCCATGGGAGAGGGTCTGATCTTGCAATACAGTCTGCACTTTTACTTCGTTTCAACCATTTGATGTAAACCAGGCAAAGTATCAGCATAAAATTATCCTTTTTGAGCTGAATTGACTGTAGATACAGTGCAATGAAAGTACAGTTTGTATACATTGTGCATATTTTTTATAATGCATGTGTATAAATACTATGTGTATGTAAGGAAGTGTCCGCATATATGTTGCTCACCATGACGCCAGCTGCCGCTTGTCAATCATTCCAGCACGCAGTGTTCAGATGGCTTCCATTCCATTGTTTATTTTGAGTGCTCAGTGGTGGGTAATAGTCTGTGACTCCATCAAACGCACAGACTCGCTTAAATACGTATAGCATTGATTTTATGTTTAAGCTACAGTTGAGGCGTAGTAACTTTTCTATCCACAAAGGTATAATTGTATGGACCCATCAACAAAATAGTGCTTTAGCGTATAGTTAGTGCTTCCTCTTCCAAGTACATAAAGAATGCTATGTGTTTGTCATGTGCCTTTCAGCCCAAGGACAGTATTATTATTCTTGGCTTGGTGTGTTTAAGCAAAGGTGATTGTCTGTAAGAGTACCTGGTGGTTTTATACATACTTTTTATACAATATTTTTTTAAATTCTGTGTTTAGGCCGAGCCTGTTTCTCTTGCAGTGCTACTATGCTCTCAAAACAGCTGGCATATGGGCTTGGGGAATGTTTCAACACATCCAAATGAGTTAATTTTTTCTGATTTTGCGAATCCCAAAGGGCTTCAGAGGTTAAGTTCACTCAACTCGTGTTTAAAAACCCATTTGGCTCATTCTCATTCACTCGGAAATCCTCCAAGTATTGTTTTTATTAACAAAGTCAGCGTCGGTTCATACACGCAACTGTTTACCCTCCAGCACTGCACATTTCAGCACTAAAGCAGTAACAGTGCATCACATTCTTACTGTGAAGAAAGCTATTCACCATCTCAGTCATCTTTACATTGCAGGCATGAATAAGCCTGTGTAGATTATAGGGCTGCACATTACTGGAAACAACAAAAATTGCAATATTTTGTTTTTCTGCAATATATGTTGCTATAAAAGACTACAGATGATTTGAATAGCTATGTTTGGGGGAAATAAAATCAATCTAGAATAATTGGGGTGTGCATCTGCACCTGTCTTTTCTTTTCTTTTCTTTTCTTTTCTTTTTTCTTTTCTTTTCTTTTCTTTTCTTTCTTTATTTGTGTGAACCATCCTTTTATCCTTTGATTGAGTCTTCACACATGGGTACACCTCTTTCAGTAACAATGAAGTAAACAAAACGTAAAAAAAAAAATCTAATTCCAACTGTTTTTGACTCATTCAATATGAAAAATGTTAAACAAATATTAAAATATTAAACAAAATAAGAAATATATTGTAATAATAGTATAGCACTATAAAATACAAAATGAAGTATTTAATAAATAATTGTATTTTATTGTATAAATATAAAATTACAATAATATTTATGTGTAAATTTCCATTATCAAACCATCTAACTTTTATTTAGGCAGTTTGCTGGCAATAAATAAAGGTTTCTGAGTGAAATGCAGCACTGTTCATTTACACGCTTGCAGCTCATGATACAGTGCTTCAGTGATTGGCTGTTACAATACATTTTATTTTAATATATCACGCAACCCTAGCTATTAGAATATTTGGCACTGTTTTAGAGATGTTATTTCCACGTTCTGATTTTTAATATCTTATACTGATATTCTTATAAGTTGCTTAAGTAAATTCCTCTTACATACAGTGACATGTTGCTCTAGAATAAATGTTCTGATGGTGTACAGTGGGTATAGAAAAGAATCACTCTTTTTAAAATAATCACATTTTGTTGCTTTGCAGCCTGAAGTGAAGACGGACACAGTTTTTGTTTTATCCAGCTGTATTTACTCTTATAAAGTAAAAATCTTATACTTATAACATCCATGTGAAAGATATAACACCAGCATAAATAATAATAAAATAAAAAAACTGAAAACAAATTGGAAATCACCCCCCTCCTAAAAATGACTTGTAAACTCAATCAGGTGTAACTAATCACTTTCTGAAAAGAGCTTTCCTGGAGCATTTCAGTCCTTGGTAGTGCAACTGAAGCAAACAATCAACTATGGGTGGCAAGGCACTGTCAAAAGATCTCCAGGATAAAGTTGTGGACAGGCACAAGTCAGAGATGGATACAAAAAAAATTCAAAGGCTTTTTCAATGCCTAGAAGCACAGTGACGTCTATTATTAAGAAGTGGAAGGTATTTGGTTCAACACAGACCCTCCCTGGATCAGGACGTCGCTCCAAACTGGATGAAAGAGTCAGGAGGAAACTGGTCAGAGAGGCGACCAAGGGGCCTACAGCAACCTTGAAGCAGTTGCAGAAATGTATGACAAAGAGTGATCATTGTGTGCATGTGACAGCAATATCACAAATTCTCCACAAATGTGGCTTGTATGGGAGGGTTGCAAGAAAAAAGCCATTGCTAAAGAAAGGCCACATGCAGTCAGACTGAGCTTTGCCAAAACACACCTTGAATTATTTGGCCTCAACACCAAACGTGTCTGGTGGAAATCCAATACAGCTCACCATCCAAATAACAGCATTCCTCCAGTAAAGCACGGAGGGGGTAATATCCTGTGATGGGGGTGTTTCTCTGCAGCAGGGACTGGAGCACTTGTCAGGATAGAAGGAAAAATGGATGGGGCAAAATACAAAATGTGATTATTTTAAAGGGGGGTGATACCCACTGTATGTTTTCATTAATAATTTAAACCTGGATATTTTAACTATTATGAGAATCATAATAGACAGATGTAAACATGGCAGGTTGCGTGACAGGAAAACTTGTACACGCAGGAAAACTCCCATGACAGTTAGATTGAATCCAGGCCCAAGCGCCCAGAACACTCTTGAATCCACACATTGTTTCCGAGAAGCTGAATGGCACTTTCTTGGACATAGTAGTAGGAAACAGAGAGAAAGAAAGAGACGGCCACCCTCTTGGCTTCTATGTATCGCACATCCTCCACTGCTCTTATTTCTGAAAAACCAAAGACCCAACTGCCTGAAGGATTTAGTGTCTTTGTGACTGGATTCCGACCGCAGACCAGCATTGGTGGCTTTAGTTGTGTCACCAGGGGTCGTAAGGGATTGAGGAAGAGTGCTATCTTTAAACGTGTGCATCACGGACACCTCTCTGTTGGTCCTCTGTTGGATTGTTTTAGGTGCCATAAAGAGTGGGACGATGGATTTCATTGCATGGGATTAATCACGAGTACAACAGGAAGGGTGAGAGGCCTCTAAAGCCCCAAGCTTCACTGCAGGAAGTGACATTTGACAGTTTACCTGGATGCAGTCCGAAGAGAAGCCATATCTAGCATGTGTAATCTGAGCTAGGCTCCGGGAACTTGATGTATGACATATTTGCCATATTTAACATCCCCATCATCCCAAAAAGCACAACACAGCCAAGAGGAATAGTGTATTGCTCAGTGGGTAATTGGGTTCTCAGTTACATTTCAGTTAAGTATCAACTCAAATGCTTTTCTAATACGACTTAGTAGAAATAAAAATAGACACAAATGAATTGTTGACAAACAGAAGGAGTACTATAAAATGCAGATGCCAAAGAAAGGCCACATGCAGTCAGACTGAGCTTTGCCAAAACACACCTTGAATTATTTGGCCTCAACACCAAACGTGTCTGGTGGAAATCCAATACAGCTCACCATCCAAATAACAGCATTCCTCCAGTAAAGCACGGAGGGGGTAATATCCTGTGATGGGGGTGTTTCTCTGCAGCAGGGACTGGAGCACTTGTCAGGATAGAAGGAAAAATGGATGGGGCAAAATACAAAATGTGATTATTTTAAAGGGGGGTGATACCCACTGTATGTTTTCATTAATAATTTAAACCTGGATATTTTAACTATTATGAGAATCATAATAGACAGATGTAAACATGGCAGGTTGCGTGACAGGAAAACTTGTACACGCAGGAAAACTCCCATGACAGTTAGATTGAATCCAGGCCCAAGCGCCCAGAACACTCTTGAATCCACACATTGTTTCCGAGAAGCTGAATGGCACTTTCTTGGACATAGT